CATATGAGGTCCGAAGGGGAACCAAGGGTATAGAACCCCATAAAATTGTATGCTCTTTCATTCTAGATACCTTTCGAGAAGATCTGAAATGGGGCCGATCCTCGTTCTTATTGCACCCCGTCCTTTATCAGGAAATCAGGATTTTCGTCGAAAATCAGGATTGACACAGGTTTACCGAAAGACGTACATCTACACCCTCAACAATTTCATGTGACTTACAGCAGATCAATATGCAAAGTCAAGCTATCAAGAAAGTCACAATGGGCCAGTGGTTCGATCGCAATTCTGACAATGTATGCGGTAAATATCGATAAATACAAAGAACAATGAACAAATGAGAAATGAATGTGTATATACGAAAAAATCGTAAAGGTGTATATATGAAAGTCTACTGCGATTCGTTGATAGCCATTCAACAAGGAGAGTTGATGTTTCAGCGGACTATCAGCTTGTAGCCCTAACTTCTGTTTGATGATTCTTTTTCCTTGTACGATAATGGTATCTAATCTTGTATTCAAAAAATGACTTTTTCCCATATATTCACCAACAATTTTAGTTCATAAAGAACAATAGCTACTCTACAAACAAGACAAGCAACGCGGTCATTGAAAAACCAGTGTCATCATCGATTCAAGATGAAATTTCTGAAACGCCTCTACCTAGACTAAACTGGAATCTTCAAGGGAAATGACCTAGTTTTGAAAAGCAACAAAAATCAGGACGAATCAGGACGACTTAAAAAAATCAGGAAATCAGGGCCGCTGCGAAGCCTGATAAAGAAAAAGAATATAGTACTACCAACAATTTTCAGCAAAAATGGCTTCTATTCTATTCGCTCAGAGTATTGAATATTAGGTTATAGAATTTCGTAGCAAGAGATTTTTCATCCCGTGACTACAAATGGCTCAAAATGAGTTTATTTTAGTTTTTATTCACAAAAAACTGATATTCTACATAATGTCAGATAAAGAAAAAAAGATAAACACTAGGGTACTATTTCACCGTATACAATATAAAAAACAAAACATTAAAAGTTCATTTCTTTCTATAGCTTAATTTCTCTATTAATCTGACTAAAAGACCATAGTTCACTTGCTGTAAACTAACAGTTTTAACTGAACAGTTTCACTAGATCTTTGTCTTACATGTGAGCGAAAGTAATTGCATAGTAATTGATAAATTTACTGTTCACCACTGCTCTTCTCGACAAATCCACTAGTTTCTTGTTCCACTTTCATCAAAAAATTTATGAAAAAAATTAAACCGGTAATACATCATTTAATCAAAGTTTAAATCGCCAAGCTAATTTCATATCTGATCAGCAACTTCAATAGTCAACAAAATCGTTGTTTTCCTTTCAAAATTTGAATAAAACGATAGATGGGGGCATCTATATTGAAAAGTATATCACAACAATTTCGATGGAAATTAAAGAAATCCATTATGAGTGAAAGTTTACAACAAACTGCTCAGAGGCGACAAAGAAACATAATAAAACGTTCTCTTTCTATGTCTGCCTACTCGTATATCAATTAGACAGAAATATTATTATAAATAAATTATCTAGTAAAATAAAAATAAGTGGAAGAATCAATTCTAAAAAAGACAATACATTCTTGTAAAATTTAAACTACCACAAAAAAAAATGAGATTAATTACGCAGAAAAACTAATCACATTTGCTCTTGAGTGTGTTTTAATATTTCTTCATTCTGATCTCTTAATAGATGTTTTTGTTTTGCTTGTTCACAAGCCTAAAAAATAGATAGTATCATGTTAACAGCGAATGAAACATGATCAAACATTGTCTTACCCTTGAATATGATAAATCTTCAATTATTTCATCATATAACACAGTAATTAATATATTTGCTTCTCGTGTCAGTTGATTCTTCATCGTCTACTTTATCTGTAGACGTTGTTGTTTCATTAACAACATCATATTGATCTTTCAAAGTCAGACTAGAATAAGATGAAAATGGACGTCGTTGTTGTTCGAATGTTGAGGTTCGAATAATAGGTTCAATGTTTTCTTAAACAAAAAATTAAACAATGTCTAAAATAAATAAATCTAGACAATTTGGCGATGCTATTAGTACATTTTACCTTGATTCAGAATTAATGATCTTTGGCTTTGATATTTTTTTATCAATGATTCATTTGAATCGTTTATCTCTCCTTTTTGTTTTTTCTTCACGTTTTCGTTTATTTCTACTAATGGGTTATTTGTTCTTTTTTGTTTTACTTTTTCCAGTACTTGTGTTTGTTTTTTAGTTAGTGGTACTTCGGATGTAGTTAAAGTGCTGATCGGTGTCGAAACTGTTGAATTCAACTCATTCAACGTCTCAATCGAAGGATTTTTACTTGGTTCCATTTGATTTTTTGATATTGTCGTGTGCAGTTTATGATCGATAATATAAACTCTGATTTCATACGGATGAAATTTAAATGTTTTTTCATCCTCGTGTTCTTGAATTGGGTCAATTAAATTAGTTAATACTAATTGTTTTGAAGACAAACTTTGATATAAAGTAAATTGTGCTGGACGATCGGTTAAGTTTATTAAAATATAAGCACGTTTATCGTTTAATGTTCGCGTATAACCGTAGACTTGTTTATGATTTGAAAGAATTAAATCGTATGTGCCATAGATAAACACGTCATTATTTTTACGTAATTTTATTAAACGTTTATAAAAATTTAATATAGAATTTTCATCTTTTGATTGTTGTTGGACATTAATATGAACATAATTTGGATTGACACCTTAACAAAAAAAAGAAAAAGAAAAAAACTTTTTTCTAAGAAACCAATAAATATTTTGAACAATATTTTTTTTATTACTTACCTAACCATGTTTGTTGAGCAGTAGAAAAACCAGCATTTGGACTATCATCCCATTGCATTGGTGTTCGAGCATTATCACGTCCAGTTACATAAATTATTTCCATTATATCCCGATGATCAATACCTTTTGCCAATTCCAAATTGTAAAAATTCTTAGCAGCAACATCATTATAATCATTGATCGAAGGGTATTTGACATTCGTCATACCAATTTCTTGACCTGAAAGAGAATCGAAGCTTTGACTTTCTAATAAAGAAATTTCATATTTAGATTTACGCATCATGACACTAATAATTTAATAAAAAATACAGACTAAAAATTCCTTAGGATTAAATATTTCAAGATGAAGTCGTTCAACAATAAACATTTGAATATATACAACTTCTACATACCTTGATAAATAAATGGTGTTCCCATCATAAGAAAGTAAACAGTTCCAAATGCTGTGGCACATTCTCGTAGATATTCTTTATCATTACCCCAAGTAGATACAATACGTGGTTTATCATGATTTTCAAGAAACAATGCATTCCAACCTTTCGCTTCTAAAGCTTTTTGCCATCTTGTCATAATACGTTTCAACGCCAAAACTATATAGAAAAAAAATAAAAACAATGACTAACTTAAATTAGAGCCTCATAAAGAGTAACAATTTACCGTCTAATGCGCCTAATGCTTTTGCCCACAGATTAAGTCCTTCAAATTGAAAAATCATATTGAATATTCCTAGAACAGAAATGCATACTTGATACAGTGATTAATCACTGTAGTTTCAAAGTTTACCAGTATCTTCGTCAACCCAATCTTGTGCTTGATCTGCTCCTACTCCATTTGCTTCACCCACACTAACAACATCTAGAGTACCAAATGTTGCATTACGAAATTCTCTTAAATATTCTTCGATTCCTTCAACGTTCATATGATAATCAAATGACGAGACAAATTCTAATTGTTTTGGATTAGGCAAATCTGGTAGACCAGGTTTCTTTTTTATATGTGATATAGCGTCAATTCGAAAACCTTTTTTTTGTTAAAAATAGTGAAAAACAGACAATGAGAGTACAACGACTGAGAATGAAAGGTAACTTACCATCGATACCTACACAAAGAATAGAGCAATGTAATAAACATTTTCTGTACAAGAAATATTTTTCTTACCTTTAGCTAACCACCAGTTGCAAATTTTATACAATTCTTGACGTAAATCAGCATTTTCCCAATTTAAATCAGGCATTTTAGGTGAAAATAAATGTAGATAATATTGATCAGTAGTTTTATCATACTCCCATGCAGATCCATTAAATATACTTTCCCAATTATTCGGTCTCAAACCTCCCGGTTTACCTGAAAATAAAAAAAAATAAAAAAAAATGTCATACAAAACACGACAAATTATTTACCATCACGCCATATATACCAGTCTCTTTTTGTACTTGTTCTCGATGAACGAGATTCAATGAACCAGCTGTGCTCATCGCTAAAAATTCCGAGAAAAAGAATGCTGAAAATTTCGAGAAGAAATTTTAGAAGAAAAAACTATTACCTCGTATGATTTAACACCATATCGAAGATTATTTTCATTTTTCTATCATGTATTTCTTTGATTAAACGTTCCATATCGGCCATGTTACCAAAAACATCCATTATTACTTGATAATCACTAATATCGTATCCCTAAAGTATAAAAAAATTATGGATTATAAAACGCAAGTAGTAACCTATACTTAACTATTTTCGAATCAAATAAAAAAAAGATTTATAATAAATCACTTACATTATCATCGTTTGGACTTTTGAATATTGGACATAACCAAATAAGATCAGCGCCTAAATCTTTAATATGATCCAACCGTTGTATGATACCAGTCAGATCGCCGATACCATCACCATTTGAATCCTGAAAACTTCGTGGATATATCTGATAAGCTATTGCTTCTTTCCACCATCGACGACGCACGATTTTTGGCGTGTCTGATGTATTCTGTATAGATTGCAATGGTCTATTGATTGTTGTAGTGGCTAATCTTGTGAATGGTGGTTTAGAAAATTTAGCCACCGTCGTGGCTAGTTGACTTATAAAATAACGAGTTAAAAGCACCAGTTTGACCGATTCAAGGAAAATAAGCACAATAAAGTACTTCTGTCAAACAAAAAATGATCTTAATAAATCCCTACTAAAATAATTGACAAGAAAAAACGATGAATTTTTTTACATGATCTACAAAGAAAACAAAGGAAAGTAGATAACGTAGATTTTAAATTTTTGGTCTAAAAACTTGCAATTTTCTTTCGAGAAAAGGTGAATTTCAAAAACTTTCACGGTTAATTTCATTTTAGTCCTATTATTTAAACGTTTTTGACAATATGTTCCGCCGCTTCTGAACAAAATGTAGCCCACTGGATGACAGTAATGCCAAATCCGTTAGCGAGTCAATCTAGTGATCATCCAGTCACTCTCCTTAGCAATTCTGAAAAATTCTCATTTTCTGAATTAAAAGCTTTTTTTTGCTCTTTGAGGAAATGTAAATACAAGTCCTTATCCATGGGCTGTATACCCATTTATTAGTCGTGCAGTTGCAATATCAAATGCGTGGCCACGTGTGAACTCTCTATAATTTCACACGCGTTCACACGTGAGAACTTCTTTTCACATGTGTTCACACACCAACTTACGACTTTCAGTAGTGACCACGTGCGAAAAATATGGCGCAATTTTCCATGAGCAGTTCACACGTGGAATAGCGTACCCACATATCATTTTACGATGTTCATTGGCGACTACAGCTCATCTCACGATATTCACACGTATACACGCCGTGTTATGTACTAAAATTTGCCCCGATGGGTACTCCCTCCCCATTGCCAAATTTTCTACGTGACTTGTCTGACCAAAACGAAAAAATAAAAAAACGCGTCTTGTTCGTTTTTTCATACTAAAGAACGGATTAAAACGAGTTTTTTTATTTTTTCGTTTTGGTGAGACAAGTCACGTAGAAAATTTGGCAATGGATCCCGAAAATTCAAAAACATTTGTTTTTTCAGCACTAACAACTAATGTGCCTGTGCGAAAAGATATCTGAATATTTTACTTGTTCGACTCTAACCTGTTTTCTTCCAGAGAGTTAGTTAGTTATCTTGTGTGTTGATATTATTTCTCGCAATTTTGACTATCGTTCCTTTAGCTCTTTACCTGTGTGACAACTTTGTCTTCCAAATCTCTCTTTGTCGCAAGTATTTTAGACTTGTACAGTTTCTTAAAATTGATCATCATCTTAGTCCCCTTTCTATCTTTTATCCAGTCTATTCACCGAACTATTCTCTTTCAGTAGTGTTTTTAATAGGAATTTTTTTCAGAGTGGAACTTTCCACTTCGCTGTTAGGTAGCGTCAAAATCGGAGTTTCTACTTTGATATGAAATGTAAAGTGGACAAAATGAGAACAGTTGAAATTTTTGTCTAATAGCAGCTAAAAGAGATTTTTTTATCGTCACAGGGGTTTCGTTTTATCACTTTCAGTTAAATGGACCGAAATTAACTTCACTACCCTGATCAATTACAAATTCAACAACAAACATCTTACGTGACTCATCTAAAACAAAATGTAACTGAAACAATAGCTGTAAGTTGAACACTAAACGCTGCAAAACTTATACAGTTTTAGATAGAAGTCACAAATCCTTTTTGACTAATATCCTATTGATGTTAATTTTCAGATACTAGCTATGTCGTATTGTGATGAAAATTAGAGGATTAAACAGAAATTATACTGGTTCTCTCGCTCACAAGTGTTCAATAAACAGAGATTGATGGGTTAATTTTGTAAGGCAGAAAATATGAAAAAAAGATAAAGTGAAAATTTTCAAGGACAAAGTGGGATATACTTTTCTCAGTGTGGAAAACTGAATGAAAATTCACTATTTAAAGTGGAAACCCATCTTGCTCTGGCTTGTTCCACTAATCAGTAAAAACGCTGCTTCAGTATCCCCAAATATGTCCGTATATCATCTCTTGTTAATAGTTTCTCTTATTATATTCTATTTTATTCATTCTATTTATTTTGTTCATCTTGTTTTTCATTTTACTTGTTTATTTTAACAGTTCTTTCTGCCTTTTGCTCTAATCTTTCTTTCGTCTGTTATCATTACTCTGTTTTTATTGTTCGGTTTGAGTCGTATAGGTCGCTGACCTTCAGTGACTGTCATATTTCGTGAATAAACTAGTCTTAGTCTTATATCATACAGTTGCAGTATGCACAAAGATTATCAACAAGAAAACACGTGTTAGAAGTGTCGGATGAAAAAAAATATATTTTTTTCTTTCAAAAATTTTCATTGGATAAAAGGATTGTCCGTTTAACAATCTCAATGGAAACGAAACGTAGTAATGCAATTTCAAAACCTTTGTCATAAACTGAACATAAAATTAAATTCTGAAGAAGGAATCTGTCCAGAAATCTTTATCTGTCAGTGTTATGAGCCTTTTTTCTCAAATCTGTCGTATTTACAGTGATAAACGATTCGTCAAAATCACGATAATATTTTCGTCATGCTTTAGACGCGTTTATATTAATAGAATTTTTCTTTTATCATCTTTTTTCTTTCTTTTCCTTCTTCCCTATGTCATCAGTTAAAGGAGCAAATTTTTATATCAGCTGTTTTCTTGCACTGTATAAAGCGAATTTGGATTATTTATATATGAGATACAAATCTGTACACATGTTTACAAAGGATACCTATAGAAGAAAAAAAAGACAAGGAAAGAATACCTGCAGTAGATTCTTGTTGCTCGTATTCTTTATCATTTAGTTTTTGCACGTAATATAATTTTATTTAGGTGATATTTTACGCACTAAATACCCTTTTATGGACTAAGTAATTTATAGTTTGTAACTAGTCTGTGTTATTGGAAATTAGATGAGTTAAACCATCTCTCTTTCTTTCTTTTTCTGAGTATTGAGGCTGTTTTTCATCACAACCTTAGCTTCAAGGTCGTCAGCCAGTGGGAGCTTTTTCTCTTGACAGTTGCAGTTTTGGAGGGGTGAGTACTTTTTGTATTCCAATGTATTTGTCTCGATATAAAACAACTTATAAGATGTCTTGATTTTTGTGGTGCATCAGAGAACCTTTTATTCTTATCCACATCTAGTCTTTGAACAGTCTTAATAGAAGGAACAATTGCGAAATACTTTCTGATGTTCACGATTTCTTAACAAGGTGTTTCATGAGTTTTCTATCTCCTCATGACTTTCTGGTCCTCTGCATGATGATCTCGAGATTTAAGATTTTGTGACTGTTTTTAGAGAATAAAAAGACTTTTGATGTTACTGTCTGAATAAACACCCTGTTTTATTCTTGCCCTTTAGATTATTGTGAACGTCGCCCACGTTATTTTCCAACAATAAATATATTATTTGATACTTTAACAACGGTTAAAATTAGTCATTTTTCTGGAAGTATTGGCAGCCATTGTTGACTTATCTTTTCTTCTAATGTCAGTCATATAAACTCATATTTATTGATAACTGTTATTTATTTATTTATAAAAATATTAGAGAAAATAATTTACCTTTCTATTTGTTGTCATTTTTCTCTATCTCTCTTTCGAGTGTTTATATTAATATTAGAAGATTTCCATTTTTTGTGTGTGTATTTCAAAGATCCTATGAATCATTCCCAATACTGGCCTCAAGTTCGGATTCCGACGACGGTGGTGGCAGAGGAGAATCTCCACCAGCGAAGAGAGCTCGAACCTCTCTAATCTTAGACGGCCAATCTTCATCAACATCTTCGTCAATAACACTCGTTCAACGCTTCGCTCGTCATTCATCAATGCATATGTTCAATTCGAATCCAAATTCATCAACAACAAATCCAACTACTCCTTCATCCACCACTTCGACATCTCCAGTTATTGTCCCTTCTACAATTACAACATCTTTAGCAAATATCAATAATAGTTCAATGACGACAAATGATTTTTTAACTACAATAACTTCCTTTCAATCGCAAACTGAGCAATCAACTTCAAATGGTGCTTCTAATAACGATTCCACTGTAGGCAATATTGAACAAGCCAACAATACAATGTCTAATGTGTCCTCTCTCTCGTCACCATTTTGTGATCCCGAACGTTTAAAGCAAACACATAAACATTATTCTGAAAGGCATTTAAATCATCATTTTAACGGCATAACAAATACGACTCAATCATCTACGAATAATGAATATGAGGATACGTTTCACAATGGAACGACATTAAATGAATCTAGTAGATTAACATCAACGTCTACACAAACAATAGAAACATCTTCAAATAATCCTACTTTATGTACAAAAACATTTACGAGTAGTCAAAAAGATATACTTCGACTAATTGGACAGCATTTACAAAGTGCAGGATTAAAGTAATTGAATGCTGTTTAACGTGTATGTGTGTGTGTGTGCTTAAAATAGTTGTTGTGTTTTTTAGCAAAACTGTTGAAACTCTTATACAAGAGTCGGGTTGCATCTTAGAACATGAATACGCGTCACATTTTCGTGAATTGATTATGTCAGCCAAATGGACTGAAGTAATTATTTTCTTGTTTCTTCCACGAATGCATCTATTTACTTCTGTTTATCCCTTTCAGTCGATGATTGCATTAGAAAAATTAAAAACGTATATTGAAGGACATGATGGAATATTGGTAAGTAACCTACCGTAAGTTTGTGATGATTCAACGGTGATAATACTATTGTTTGTCTTTCTTCTAGCAAATGAAGTATCTGATATTAGAACAAAAATACTTTGAATTGATTGAAGATAGTCAACCAATGGAAGCATTACAATGTCTTCGACATGAAATACAAGAATTAGGTATACAAACAGAACGAACACATGAATTAACCAAGTAAATGCAAACTTCTTATTATGTGTCTCTAATGAAACTGCATTACTATGATACTACTTTTTTTACTTGTAGATATCTCATGTTCAGTTCACCTAAAGAAATGAGAAATTCAGCTAATTGGAGTGGAAAAGGATTTGTCTCGAGACAAAAACTGATGGAAAAACTCCAGAGTATGTGATGTGATTCATTCCATTGTGCTTGATAATCTAATCTCATTGTTACTTTTTGAAGAATTTTTACCACCCGATATCATGCTACCGCCAAAACGTTTAGAATCATTATTAACTCAAGCTGTTGAATTACAGCAAGATCGTTGTACATATCATGTTAAACCAGGCAAATTGACACTTGACGATGTATCCTTATTGAAAGATCATGTTTGCACAAAGTAAGTTCAGATAGAAGTGTCTATTCACTATGTATTCACTTGTGTTCTATTGTTTTTTTTAAAGACAAACGTTCCCGTGTGTTAGCATTCAAACATTGAGTGAACATACTGATGAAGTATGGTTTTGTAAGTTTTCACCAGATGGAACAAAATTAGCAACAGGATCGAAAGATGGTTATTTACATATTTACGATGTTGATTTGGTACATGATAGAGTCCAAAATAAAACTAAAATCATCATTATTCTACTTTTCCCTTTTAGCAAACTTATAAAATGAAGTTACATAAACAATTTGAAGGACATTCATTTGGTATCGGATGTATTGCCTGGTGTCCATTTAGTCGTTATGTTATTGCTTGTGGTACAGATGAGTGCACTGAACTTTGGATTTGGGATGTTGAGGTATATTTTGCATTTTTTTTTTACAATGTTTGTGACCAAGTATTCTGATAGATGGAGTTAGAAAGACCCGTTGTACTACTACTCTTAATAAATAAGAATGTACGATTTTTGAGATAGGTCTAGTTTTTCGGGATTGTCATATTTTTTCTCCATTTTAAAAGTAAATAAAAAAATTTTAGTCGAGTTAGTACACGATACACAACATGTAATTAAGTCTTCGTTTTGATTTAAGTTTGTCTTAGTCTTCGAAAACGTGATCTTAAATGAAGCATTGATTTAGGACATCTCCACAGTTGTCGTAAGACAATATTCTATACTAAAATTAAACATTATCTTAAGTCGGTGTTTAAATTCATGAATTTGAAAAAATATTCGTAAAACGATCCCAGAACCATCAAAATCACGTTTCTTACTTTCTTCACTTTTAATTATATATTTTTTGCTTTTAGCGCGAAGAACAACGATCAAGAATGAATCATACATCAGACGATAGCTTGACGTGTGCTGCTTGGCTGCCAGATGGTCAACGTTTTGTTTGTGGCGGATCAAGAGGACAATTTTACTACTGTGTATGTTATTTTGAAATGTTTTGATCAGATTTCTTAAGTGAAGAAAAATATTTAATATTTTACTAAAAGTAATAACTAATATACCATACCGGAGACGAGTGTAAAGTATGTTAAATATTATTTTTAAAGATTTCAATAGTTTCATAGTAATTAGATTATTTTCAATGTTGTCTTTCAAGCAAAGAAATGCTACTAAATGACATTTTTGGCCGATAACGATCATTTAATGTCTAAACGCTTCTAAGTCTGTGCGATCTCTCTCAACGACGACGTTGAAGAACTCTATGTGCAAAGATGTTAGCACGTGAAAGCAACTAACATTGATTGTCAAATAAAATCTGTTTCTTATCTCTTTCAGGATATCGAAGGAAATGTCATTGACAGTTGGGAAGGCGTTCGTTTACAATGTCTTCATGTAACCACAGATGGTGTTATTTTAGCAGCAGATGCCCAAAAACGTATTAGTTCTTACAAATTTGACACGCTCACCGATCAACAATTGTAAGTAATGAACAATTTATTAGAACAGTTTTAGTTCATGTTTATCTCTTTATTTAGAATTCATGAAGATCATCCAATAATGTCTTTTGCAGTAAGCAAAGATGGTCGTCTTGCTTTATTAAATATAGCCACTCAGGTAAACTAGCATAAACTATAGTTGGCATTGTTATCGGCTTTCTTTTCATATTTAGGGAGTTCATTTATGGGATTTAGAAGATAAAGTGCTTGTGCGTAAATATCAGGGTGTCACACAAGGACACTATGTCAATCATGCCACATTTGGAGGACCAAATGAAGAGTTTGTTGCAAGCGGAAGTGAAGGTTAGTAAAGATTCATTTCTAGATTTTATGGAAGTTTTTGGAAGCACATTAAGTACTTCTAATTCTTTTACTTAGGAACAGCTTTTCTTTCAAGAGTGTTCTAGAAGTTTTGAAGAAAGTAGAACCAATTCCTTAAGTAAAGAAGGAATGTGATCCACTGATTGAGGATTAAAAGCTATCAGCTTGTGAATAATCTGTGCAGATGACATTAGTGCCAGCGCTGATCGTTGTGAAGTATTAGGGTTTTCCATAAAAAACTTCAATAAATTTTAATGATATTCTTTTTCTGTAGATTCAAAAGTTTATCTTTGGCATCGTCGTCAAGAACGTCCCATAATGGTATTTTCAGGCCATTCAAGAACGGTTAATTGTGTATCATGGCATCCAACGTTGCCATTATTATTCGCATCAGCCTCAGATGATGCAACAGTGAGAATATGGTCTACACCAGAACACCAACAAAAAATTGGTAAGCATCATTTATAATATTGCAATTACCGTTAGCACTACGTTGGCTGCTATATATTATTTCATTGAAGGTAGATGTTAATAATACGTTTCTATCTTTTTCTCATTTAGAATCTTCACCTGAAGGTGAATCATCCTGACAAAATGTTTCGGTTTTTGGGAAAATATTTTTATCGAAAAAACATTATTTATTGAGCAGACAAGCACCCCCTCTACAGTCTTCAGTGAATCGCCAATCGAGATACCTAAAAAGCGAGTTGTTTATATACCTGGTTATATCGCTGTTCATTGTCTTGTTCTATTTACATCTGTTTTGTTGATTTATTTTTTTTTGCGCTGTCTCACTAAACAAGATAATGTTACGTTTGTTGAAAACAAGGTAGTTAATTCATCCATCCTACTTAGTATCGTGAAACTAGTTTGTATAACGAATTGCTTGACCCAAAAACCATTATAACGATGTAGACTCTCAGTCTCTTTTTTAAGATAATGTAATATTCATAATTTTGTGCTCATTCATATTGTAGACGATCTCTCCCTTTCGTTTGCTATTGTCATTTTCTATACGATTTTTTTGTTGTTTCCGCCCATAATGATGTGTTTGAGTACGCGCTTATCACATGCGCTAACTATGATTTATGTTTTTTGTGAATAAACCAATGACTTATGAATTTTTATTTTCACAGATTTTTAGCATGTTTTCTGTAAAAATCGACATATTTATTATTATTGTTATTTAAAAGAAGTTAGGGGCAAATAGCTGATAAACTTTTGTTCATTTACTTCAAAATATTAGATTTTTTCTAATCAAGATTCTTTAATTTTCATTTTGCCGCAAGTTTTGTTTATATCCACGTAAATCATATGAGACTAACATGACAGGTGTGCGCGTCTTTTTTGTATGTTTTTTTAGCGGTATTTTATTCAGACGTGTTTTGTCTTTGATACAGAGTGATGAATTTCGCTTTTTTCCCCCATCAATTCTGTGTTGTTTACCTTTCATATCACATACTCCCCAGACGTTGCTGTTTTTTCTCCAAGTGAAGTTTGTTTGAGTGTATTTCTGCGTCTTATTTTCTCTCGTTGTGCGTGTGTTTTCTATTTTTCTTTTCTTTTTATTCATATAAACATTTAGTGCATGTGTATATAAAACTTGCTTTTTGTTTTATTGTTTGTTTCGTTCCCTTTCCTGCAATGTAAAAAGAAAAATTATCTTCTATCGGCTTTTTTTTATAAAAGAAATTGAAATTAAGCTTAAATTGATTATTATTCGAATATTGACAATCTCGTTAACCAGTCCTCTACATTATATAAAACGGACGAGTTAGTGTGAAAGACATTGACTATATTCAGCACATCATTTGAAATGATTTAAACATTCTTTTGAGTAAGCATACGGTGAAAGAAGGGGATTGATTTCCAAATATAAGCTTGAACTTCTTGCTACTTTTTCGCAGGCGATGTGAAGCCATAAAACTAATGGTATAATGTCAGGTTGATGATGATAATAAACTTTAAATGACAATTCCTGCATGCTAATTTTTGTATAGAGCGTATTACGTAGCGTTTATGAATTATTAACTACAAGGTCAAGTCGCATTTTCTGCCATCTGCTTTTAAAAATGTGGATGTGGATTACAATAATCTTTTCTAGCTTTAAGTTTTGTATAAAACATATTCAAAGACTTATTAAAAAGCAAAAAAGCGTTTAATGCATACAACCTTGCTTTTGTGTTGATAAAGTTGTTGTTATCTCATAATATGATTTTTCCTGGCATTTCACTACTTCTATGGTAACCGATGTGCGCAGCGATTTTATTAGCGCTAAAATAAAACCGTAGCAGTTAACTACATACATCTATATAACTTCCACAGTATATTCCGGCAACATGTTTCCAAGTTTTGTGACTGAAGAAAACCTCCATTACGTAAAATTGATAGCTGTATGAAACGTGCTATCCGTTTGACTTATATCTCAGTGCAAGATCTTATATTTTCAGCACAAGTATCCTGATTGAATACTATCTATAGCCATAGCATGTACAAATTTGATCCTTACGGCTTGTCCAGCTAACGGCCTGCATTTTTTGCTCTTTTTCGAAGAGTTATTGCAATAAAGTTACAAATTAATCTAAGCAACTAGATGATTAAGTACATTAAACATTTCTCTACAAAATGAAATGTGTCTCGGCTCTGAACGTTGATTCGTTATGAAAATACAGCTGTTGTGCAAACAGCTCCAAAAATCGATTTTTGGGCTATCTGAAAAGCATGTCTAAAAGAATGAAGACGAGCTGGTAAACATTGAACAAGTATACCAGTTTGTAGAAAATTGTTCGCTCTATAAGATGTGATAGCTTGTCAAGTTCGAAACTATTCTAATTAATCTGTATTAATCAAAGAAAACCAGAAAAACGGTAACGCTGTGACACTTTTTCTTTGATTAATACAGATTAATTAGAATAGTTTCGAACTTGACAAGCTATCACATCTTGTAGAGCGAACAATTTTCTACAAACTGGTATACTTGTTCAATGTTTACCAGCTCGTCTTCATTCTTTTAGACACGCTTTTCAGATAGCCC